TATATAATAGTAAAGGGAGTGATTCAACAAGAAGATATAACAATCCTAAATATTTATGCACCTAACACAGGAGTGCCCAGATTCATAAAGCAAACCCTACTAGATCTAAGCAAAGAGATAAACAGCAGTATTGTAATTGCTGGGGACTTCAACACCCCACTGAAAGAACTGGACAGATCATCTAAGCAGAAAATAAATAAAGAAACACTGGACTTATACGGGACTCTAGAACAAATGTGTCTAACAGACATTTATAGAACATTTCACCTAAAAACTACTGAATATACATTCTTCTCATCAGCACATGGAACATTCTCCAAGATTCACATCTTAGGCCACAAAACATGTCTCAAGAAATTTTAAAAAAATAGAAATCATACCATGTATATTCTCAGACCACAGTGGAATAAAACTAGGAATCAACTCTAAGAGAAACACTCAATTCTACAAAAAGTCATGGAAATTAAACAACCCGCTGCTGAAAGATTCTTGGGTAAAGAATAAAATAAATATGGAAATCAAAATGTTCCTCAAACTGAATAACAAAGGGGCCACAAGCTATCAAAATCTATGGTATTCATTAAAAGCAGTCCTAAGAGGAAAATCCATAGCCTTAAATGCCTACATCGAAAAGACAGAAAGTTCACAAATTAACAATCTAATGATATCTGTCGAGGAACTAGGAAAGGAAGAGCAAATCAAACCCAAAGCCAGCAGAAGAAAAGAAATAACTAAGGTCAGAGCCGAGCTAAACAAAACGGAAAATAAAAAACAATACAAAAGATCAATGAAACAAAAAGTGGGTTCTTTGAAAAGATAAACAAATTGATAGACCTCTTGCTAGATTAACCAGGAAGAGAAGAGAAAGGACCCAAATAAGCTCAATCAGAAATGGAAAAGGAGATATTACAACTGATACCACAGAAATACAAAATATCATCTTTGAATACTATGAAAATCCCTATGCACATAAATTCAAAAACATAGAGGAAATGGACAAATTCCTGGACACATTCAACCTTCCAAGACTCAATCAGGAAGAAATAGAACTCCTGAACAGACTGATAACAAGCAATGAGATTGAAGCAGTAATAAAAAATCTTCCAACAAAGAAAAGCTCCAGACCAGATGGATTCACACCTGAATTTTATCAGACCTACAAAGAAGAGTTGGTACCCATACTGCAGAAATTATTCCATAACATCAAAAAGGAGGTAATTCTCCCCAACTCATCGTACAAAGCCAGTATCACCTTGTTACCAAAGCCAGGAAAGGACACACACAAAAAGAAAACTACATACCAATATACCTTATGAATACAGAAACAAAAATGCTCAATAAAATGCTAGCAAACCAAATTCAACAGCAAATCAAAAAATTAATCCACCATGACCAACTGGCCTTCATCACAGGGATGCAAGGATGGTTAAACATATGTAAATCAATAAATGTGATGAACCACACAAACAGAAGCAAAAACAAAAACCATGCAATCATCTCAATAGATGTAGAAAAAACATTCAACAAAATCCAGCACCCTTTCATGATAAGAACCCTCAACAAATAAGGCATAGAAGGAACATATCTCAAGATTATAAAAAGCCATATATGACAAACCCATTGCCAACATCATACTGAATGGGGGAAAGTTGAAAGCATTCCCACTAAGAAGTGGAACAAGACAGTGGTGCCCACTGTCACCACTTCTATTCAACATAGTGATGGAAGTCCTAGCCAGAGCAATCAGGTAAGAGAAAGAAAAAAAGGGTATCCATATCAGGAAAGAGGAGGTCAAACTATGGCTTTTTGCCAATGATAAGATCTTATATCTACAAAACCCCAAACACTTCACCAAGAGACTCCTGGCATTGATTATAAATTCAGCAAAGTCTCAGGTTACAATATCAATGTACACAAACAGTAGCATTCCTATACACCAGTAACAGTCAAGTTGAGAGTCAAATTAAAGACTGAATACCATTCATAATAGCTACAAAGAAAATAAAATACCCAGGAATATACTTAACCAAGGAGGTAAAAGATCTCTACAAAGAGGACTACGAAACACTGAGGAAAGAAATTGCAGATGACACAAATAAATGGAAAAACATATCATACTCATGGATCAGTAGAATCAACATTGTCCAAATATCCATACTACCCAAAGTGATTTACAGATTCATTGCAATCCCTATCAAAATACCAGTACCATATTTCACAGACCTAGGAAAAAAATAATTCTACACTTCGTTTGGAGCCAGAGAAGAGCCCAAATAGCAAAAGCAATCTTAAGCGAAAAGAAAAAATCTGGAGGCATCCCATTACCAAACTTCAAACTATACTACAAGGCTATAGTAACCAAAACAGCATGGTACTGGCACAAAAATAGAGACATAGACCAATGGAATAGAACAGAGAATGCAAATATAAAACCATCCACATACAGTCAACTAATCTTTGATAAAGCAGACAGCAATATATACTAGAGGAAAAAAGCCCTATCCAATAATGGTGTTGGGAAAATTGGATAGCCACATGAAGAAGAATGAAACAGGATCCATATCTCTCACCACACACAAAAATTAACTCAAGGTGGATAAAAGACTTAAGTGTAAGGCATAAAACCATAAGAGCCTTAGAAGAAAATGTTGGACAAACTCTTCTAGATATTGGCCCAGGCAAAGAATTTATGACTAAGACCCCAATGGCAATCACAGCAACAACAAAAATAAATAAATGGGATTTGATTAAGTTAAAAAGCTCTGCACAGTTAAGGAAATAATCAACAGAGTAAACAGACAACCTACAGAATGGGAGAAAATACTTGCAAGCTATACATCCAATAAAGGGCTAATAATCAGCATCTACAAAGAACTCAAGCAAATCAGCAAGAAAAGAACAAACAACCCTATTAAAAAGTAAGCAAAAGACATGAACAGAAGCTTTTCAAAAGAAAATAGACTAATGGCCAATAAACATATGAGAAAATGCTCAACGTCACTAATCATCAGGGAAATGCAAATTAAAATCACAATGAGATATCATCTTACCCCTGTTAGAATGGCTTTTATTAAAAAGTTCAAAAACAATAGATGCTGGTGTTGATTCAAAGAGAAAGGAATGCTTATACACTGTTGGTAGGACTGCAAATTAGTACAACCATTATGGAATACAGTGTGGAGATTACTCAAAGAACTAAAAGTAGACCTACCATTTGATCCAGCAATCCCACTACTGGATATTTACCCAAAGGAAAAGAAGTCATTTTATCAAAAAGGCACCTGCATGCAACGTTTATAGCAGCACAATTCAAAATTGCAAAGATGTGGAATCAACCCAAGTGCCCATCGGTTCATGAGTGGATTAACAAAATGTGGTATATGTATACTATGGAATACTATGCAGCCACGAGGAAGGATGAATTAAGGTCTTTTGCAACAATTTGGATGGAACTGGAGACCATTATCCTAAGTAAAGTATCTAAAGAATGGAAAAACAAACACCACATGTACTCACTATTAAATTGGAGCTAACTGATGAGCACACATGCAAAGAAGGGAGCAAAATTCAGCAGAAATCAAGCAGGGGGGAGGGAGTAGGATGAGGTGGGCAAAAACCTACCTAACAGGTATAATGAACACTATCTGGGTGACGGGCACACTTTTAACCCTGACTCGAGCATTACAAAAGTGATCCATGTAACCAAAAACATTTGACACCCCATAATATTTTGAAATAAACGAAAAAAAGAAGATAGTCACTAAGTGCAGTCTACACTTAAGGGAGAGTATTCCATATGAGCAAGAAAGTAAGACGTGGGGTCCATTTGGGGTCATCCTGGAAGCTGAAAAGGTGTTCTCATAGGGAACACTTTGAGGTTTTCATCTGAAAAAAAATCACGTAGCCCAGAGAAAAGTTTTGGAGATGATAGAAATGTTCTATATTGTGATTGTGATATAAGTTACACAACTGCATATCTTTGTCAAAACTCATGAAATTTTGAATCTTAAATGCATTATGCTGAGTGCAAGAAGTCAGACTCAAAAGGCCACATACTGGAACTTCCACTTCTGGGAAAATGGAGTAGGTGTATGTTGCCCTATTCTTCTGAGTACACATAAATATCTGGACATTATATATTTATAACATAAAATAAGATTCTGTAAGGCAGAGAGAAGGCTGCAAACTGGCTAGACACCTTGGGACCCAAGGCATGACACTGGCTTTTCTTTTTGTCTCATATATCCCTGGAGCTGAAGAAGGCAGCCTTCTGGAAACACCTATGACCACAGATGAGAAAAGCACCAAGAAAAGCCTGTACTCTCTAGCCAAAGGACCAGAGAAGGGGCAGCCTAGCAAGACAGAAAACTTTTAGACAATAATTGCTCTACTTCAGTACAATACAACAGAAAAATACTGTGGCCACCACCTCCCACTCATGTCAGCAAAGGCCTAGTGGGAAGCGCCCACTACAGAGAGGCTGCACAGAGACTCCCAACACCCGCCCTAAGATAGTATCAAAAAAACCAAGCGAGGAGCCTGGACTTCTGTGCTTGCCAGTTGGTAATGAAACTCCAGCTCCCTAGCGTTAGCGGATACCAAATAGGGAGCCTGGCCTCCTGCCCCTCTCGGCAGTAAAAGCACGCCCCTTCCCCTTGGCACTGGGGCGGAGTTGGTGGAAGCAGAGTGGAGAGTCAGGACTTTCACTGTCTCCTGGCAGTAATGAGGACAGCCCTACCACCGAGACAGTGGAGACCATTAGGGAGTCAGAACTCCCACTTCTGCCCAGTAACAAGGAAGCTTCCCCCTCAGTTGTCAATGGAGTTCCACCCAGTGGAGAGCCCGGACTGCTACCCTCGCCTGACAGTAATTAGGTGGTGCCCTCCACCTCACTGCCAGAGCAGTGCCACAAAACACCTACTACGACAGGAGGTGGACATAAGACCCAGAGCCTCATCACGTAATATGAAAATGTCCAGTTTCCGGGGATCACTGAGGTGCTTGTATTCTCATGGCTGTGCAGGGATTTAACCACGACCGCGTCTAGTAAAAGGTCGAAGACCAAGACCAACAAGAAGCGCCCTCAGCACGCAACATCCAATGTGTTTGCCATGTTTGACCAGTCACAGATTCAGGAGTTCAAAGAGGCCTTCAACATGATTGATCAGAACAGAGATGGCTTCATTGACAAGGAAGATTTGCATGATATGCTTGCCCCACTAGGGAAAAATCCAACTGATGAGTATCTGGATGCCATGATGAATGAGGCTCCTGGCCCCATCAATATCACCATGTTCCTCACCATGTTTGGTGAGAAGTTAAATGGCACAGATCCAGAAGATGTCATCAGAAATGCTTTTGCTTGCTTTGATGAAGAAGCAACTGGGACCATTCAGAAAGATTACCTGAGAAAGCTGCTGACAATCATGGGAGATTGGTTTATAGACGAGGAAGTGGATGAGCTGTACAGAGAAGCCCCCATTGACAAAAAGGGGAATTTCAATCACATGGAGTTCACGCACATCCTTAAACATGGAGCAAAAGACAAAGGTGACTGAAAAGAACTTCAGATTCCAGCCAAACGTTCCTTGTTGCCACTTTGGGTATTTCTGAGATTTTCTCTTAGAGCCTGTTGCATGCCCTTAGCTTTATAGCTTTTGCTTTTCTTGTTGTATTTATTCTCAGCCATTTTGGGTATACGTATCTTTATAATCAGACTGGAAATGGGACTTTTTATCATTTTCAGATTAGAAAATACGGTAATTTAACTTACCAGCTCCTATCCCCCCAATAACTGCAGTCTACAGAGTCAATATATTTTTTCAGAGAAAGTTATTCACTCAATTTTTTTCTGAACCATAATTAAACTTTACAATAAAATACTTGTTTAAACTTAAAAAAACAAGGAAAAAGAAAATGTCCAATTTCCAATAAAGAAAATCACTTGGCCTGCTAAGAACCAGGAAGACCTCACACTCAGTGAAAAAGGACAATCAGTAGGTGCAGACATCGAGATGACTGAGCTGTCAGAATGAGCAAAGATCTCAAAGCAGCCACAATAGAAATACTGCAATGAACAAAAAAATGTAAAACTTTTGCTCTGCAAAGACCTTGTTAAGAGGATGAAAAGATAAGCTGGAGAGTGAGAGAAAATATTTGCAAACCACTTATCTGACAAAGGATGAGTATCTAGAATATATTTTTAAAACTCTCAAAGCTCAACAGTAAAAAAGAAAATGATCCAACTAGAACATGAACAAAAGATGTGAAGAGACATTTCATCAAAGAAGACACACAGACAGCAAATGAGCAAGTGAAAAGATGGGCAACATCATTAGTCACTGGGGAAATGCAAATTTAAACCACAAGATACCACTATGCACCTATCAGAACCGCTAAAATAAAACGTAATGACAACACCAAATGCTTTCGAGCGTTCAGAGAGACTGGATCACTCATACATTGCTGGTGGGAATGTAAAAATGGTACAACCACACTGGAAAACAGTTTGGCAGTTTCTTTAAAAACTAAATATGCAACTACCATATGAGCAACAACTGTTCTTCTAGGCATTTATCCCAGAGATGTGAAGCCTTAGGTCCACAAAGAAACCTGTACACAAATGTATAATGGCAGCTTTATCCATAACAGCCCCAAACCGGAAACAACTCAGATGTGTTTCTACGGACGAAGATGAAACCCACCGTGGAGCGTCTGTCCCATGGCATGCTGCTGGGCAGTGAAAAGGAACCAGCTCCTGATGGCTGCAGCAACCTGGATGACCCTCCACACAATTGTGCAGAGAAGGGCTGGCGGGCAGTGATGACATTACAAGCTCCGTGCGCCACTGACAGCGCAGCTGAGCTCCATGTGAGGAAGCCAAAGGCACTCAAATAAAAATTGGGGACCCAGGCAAGCCTGCCTTGGCTGCCAATGGCAGAGAAGGCCATGTGAATGAGCCCAGGGAGAGGAAGCTGGGGTCACTGCAAGTGGGACAGCCCTTTCCAGCTGTACCCACCCCACACACACCATTTCTGTCTGTCCCTCACACTCAAAGGACTCTGAGAGTTGCTTATCTTAGAATTACCTTAGAAGCAAGAGGCTCTCATGGGCATCTACATTTTTCAGTTCCATCCTTGAAGAGAATCTCCCAGAAGAGGATTCCCATGGGTGCTTCTGGGATTTGCTCCATCATCACTGAACCGATACGTTCTGGATGATCTCAGTGAGTCCTGCCTGCTGGGCTTTCTCCCAGCTGTGCAGCTGTCACCTGTATAATCTTCTCTTGGGTACTTTTTTTTCCTGAATTGCAGGGAGGTAGCTAATCTACCAGCAAAAAACTGGGTCCCTTTGGTAGGGTTGCAAAGGATAAGAAAATAATAGAAAATGGAAAATAATGGAAATAAAAGAATACCCAGAGACGAAGGTATAGTTTTATGGATTTATAAAGATTATAGGCAAAGCGGGTGCTCAGGGGGCCTGGATTTCTCCGTCAATCTCAGAGGCCATAAGTGAAGTTTTACATGGTCATTTATAGGTACAGTGATCAGTTGCCAGGGGTAACAGATTTACATAACAGCAGGTAGTTTCTCGTAGGTTAACAGTTTTTCAAAAGGCTTCTTCAGATCCCTTAACTAACTCTTTCTACGTGAACAAATGGTTACAAAATCTTTCAAAGGCTAACTTCTAAGTTCTAAGGTAAATTTATCAATTAACAGAGGGGTTAAACAGAAATATATTGCCTCCATATTTTCTTTATCATGTTATTGTGAATGGAGACAGGGAGTCTGGAGTTTTAAGCGGGAACCGTCCCTTGGGCTAATTGCTTATAGCCACAGGTGGCTGTCTGTTCGGGTGGGCACTCTTTGATCAGCTCTCATCCTGTAGTTTTTAGCAGACTTGCTTTGCTTTACAAAGCAAGTCCAAACCTTTAGGTCTGAGAATCGCAGCGCCTTGTGGGATTCAGCCGCTACTGTCTTTCAGAGATGCCCTCCTGAGGTGAAACAGCTTTCGATATGCAAACTAACACGTTCACATATTCATTCAGGGTAAAGCTCTGCAAAACTCCTGAGACGTTTCCTGTCTCCAACAGATTTATATTAATTCATGGAGCAACACTGAATCAGTTTTAGGTGATGAAAATTTGTGGGTTTGGTGTTGACAAGGAGAGTTTCTAGAGAACTGTCTTCTTAGAGTCAAGGGGCAGAGCCAGGCCACTCACTTCTACCAGCCAGGAACTGGGGGATGGGACCACCCTCCTTTGCCAGGCTCACAGCTTCGTTGGATCCCTTCCATCCCTGGTAGACATATGCTGCAAAAGAATGTGTTTGGAGACTGAAGTTGCCTGATCACCATGGTGATGAAGACATGCTACCTGCACGGCACAGGGCGTCCTATGTATATTAATATTTAGCAGTAGCAGTTAGCCAGGCAGCAGTTGCATTCAGTTGCGGCACATTACTGGCTAGAACGAGCATCCTGAAAGAGATACAGTCCCCAGAGAAAATCCTAGAAGAGATTTTGGTGAGGTCTGCAGACCTCTCTGTGACATAGTCCACTCTTTCTAACCAGTCTGATTTGGGGAGGCAGATGGTTGGGCAACCCTGCCCTGGATCTGGAATCAGAAGTTCTGAGGCTCATCACTTGGAAGCTGGTTCCCATATGTTAGGCACCTTGCCAGGGGCATGTACATTTCCACTGGCTCCTCCTAACAACCCCCAAATGCAAGCACTCTTGTCCTTGTTTTACAGGAAGGAACTGGCAGGAACTGGAGCTCAAAGAAGGTAGGTAACTTGGCCAGTATATGGCAGAGCTGGGATAAGAATACAATCAGTCTTACTGATTATATAATTACTATAACTGTACCCTCTCCAATTCTCTGTTTTTTTTTAATCTGAAAAGTGGGGATAACCAAAGGTCCCATCCTTCTTCGTAAGTTCAAAGAAAAATCATGAATAGACACAGGACAGAGGGTGTCAGCTGGCTGCAGCTGCGGGCACTGGAGGGGTAAGAGAAGGAAGGCAGGCCAGTTACTGGGGCGAGAAGCCTCCAGGTACTGAAGGGTGGAGGGGGGTGAGACTTCCCAGGCCAGGAGTGAAGTGGGTGAGGAATCAGCCCAGAACAGAATGACAGAACAGTGAGATTAGAACAGAGTGTACCCAGGAACCTAGCATGTGGCTCCCTCGCAGGTAACATTTCACAAGTGCGGAAAGAGGTAGTTTCTTCCAGCAGTGGTGCTGGAATGACAGGCCAGCTATGAAGAATGACAAAGAAAATAGCAACCCAAACTGAGGGCTTACTATGTCCAAGTTCATTGCTTTATGTCATCACCTTATTGACTTCTCACCACACACTTAGGAAACACATTCTGTGGTTATTTCCATTTTACAGAAGAGGAAACCAGGACACAGAGAGTATAAGCAACTTTCCCGTGTCACACAGCTTGTATTCACACCCAGTTGTCTTTGGATGTTATAAAATATGGCTGGAACTCCATCTCCCTCCTCACATCAGAGTAAATTCCCAAAAAAAGAGAAGATTTTAACATAAGGTATAAAATCATTTAAGTTTCAGAGGAAAACATGGGTGAATATTTTTATAATCTTCAAGAGGAAAAGGCCTTTGAAACATGATGTGAAAGCTAGAAACCATAAAGGAAAAGATTGAGAAATCTGGCTACAAAAAATTTTAAAGCTTCTTTCTTAACAATAGAATACCATAAACAAAGGCAAGAAATTTAACCACAGTCTGGGAAAACATACTTAACATTACACATTACAAAGTCCTAAAATCCTAAATAAATAAAAAGGTCTTACAAATCAATGAGAAAAATTGACCCAAGAATGAAAAGGACATAAACAAGCATTTCATGGAAAAGGAAATACAATATGAAATTATGAACCTCACTAATTAAGAAATTAAAATCAAAACAATGACATCATTTTCATCCATAATAACTACAAAGATTTTTTAAATGACTGATGCCTGATGTCAATGAGGGGTGGGCAGCATGTCTGCCCATATACCATTGATGGGCAACTTGGCAACATCCTAAAATGTGCCTATTCTTCCACACAGAAGTCCCACTTCTGGGAACATGTACTACAAAACTTCTCAGACAAGCTCATTAAGATGTACATGCAAGGATTTTTTTACTGAAGGTGTTTATAATAGTAAAAACCCAGAAATAATCATCAAGTCAGTCAATAAATTATGGTACAGCCAAAAAATGAAATGACAAATAGTTTATGAACTGACATAGAAAAATGACCAAGATGTATTGTTAAGAAACAAATTGCAGGGAAGTATGTCCAGTGTGCCTCTGTTTTTATTCATAATATTAAATTGATAACGTTTTAAGATGGTATATACATAGGAGGTAATCAAAAAGACCATTTCTAGTGATTATCTTAGGGGGATTTCTGAGGGACTCTCACATTCTGTGTAAGTCAGCTCTGCATGTTCAAAGTATTTTGAAGATGGAATTACAGTTGCAATCATCATCATAATAAAAATGTCAGTAATCATGGGTTATTAACATCCCACTGTGCCTCTGTACAATGCTTGGGAGACTAGGCATTCCCTCTTAACTGGAATGAAGGTTTTTGATGAGTTTTTTCATCTTCATGATAGCTTTGAAGAACCCTAAGTGGACAGAGGGTGAGAACTTCCTGCTCCAGCTCTCTGCCTCAGTTCCTGCCAAAAAAACACAAATTTCAAGGACTCAGATAACCCAGTCTCACAGCAAAAAGAGAAAAATAAAGAACGCCTGCAACAGCTTCACTGCCGCTTCTGTTATCAGTCTGCTAAAGCAGGGAAAAAAAGGCATTTTTACCCTTTAAAACTCCAAGCAACTTTCCCTCAACTTCCCGGCATTTTTTATT